ATGCACTGCGATGCGTTCTAACAACGCACTGCAGCGCATGGCGTACACCTCAATATGTGTATGTTATGTGTGGGGAGGGAGGGGTTGTGCTTTTTTTAATTAGTTTTTTTTTTTTACATTTTTTATTTATTTTTTAATAATTTTGTATTTTTTTTGTTTACTGTTGGGGGGGGCTACAGTGAAATCTCTGCGGTTTAAATAGACCCCTGACATTTCCCTTTTGAAATAGAAAAAGAAATTGAGGAATTCAGATTACTTTAGCAGGGTGAAAAGACAATATTAAGGAACAGGACTTGTGGCAGCCAGAGTAGAACTGCACCTCTTCCAGGACAACATTGCTTTTATTTACGACTGCAGGAAAAAGCAGACTGGCAGGGCAATCCTCAAACTATCATCTCATCTACAGCTGACAACGAAGGACAACGCAGTAAACATGATGCACACAAACCAATGCAGGATGACATCATACAGCAGCAACACAGCTTGAGCTATGAGTCACCATCTCTCAGGCCTTCACATATACACAAAGCAAGCAGAGAGGGGCCGGCGTTCAGCTCTCAGAAAATGAAAGTTTGTCAACCTCTACTACATATTATCCTAACAGCGTGCCATTCGGTTACAGAAAAAACTACATATTTTTCAGCCTCCAGTGATAACAAAATAGCATGTAGTTTAATGAACACACATAACCAAAGGCAGATAACACAGCTTACTATAAATACCGCAGAACTCGCTCCTATTTCTGCATTCTCCTTCACTGTATTACTGATTGGGAAAGTGCATTGAAAGTAGATTCAAGAGGACACGTATGATGGGGTCTGGATAAGAATTAACACAGCAGTTTGTGTTTTTCTTTATTATCAGGTCATCCTGTCAGTAGATCTGTTCATTTTTCACTTTAACAGGACATGCTGCCCAGCAAAACTGACAATTATGGGGGTCAGTACAAGCTAAGAATGAAAAGAGTGCTTCACAACAGCTGGTTTAAAGTAGAGGTGCACCGAAACCGGAAAAACATTCTAACCTTTTTAAAAAAATTGAAATATGTTAAAAAAAAATTATAAAACTTGAATTTAATATTTTTATAAAATATTTTTTTTTTTTACTTTACTATCGGGGGGCAGGCTCTGGGGAAATATTGGGGGTCTAAACAGACCCCTGATATTTTCCTTCTAAAATAGGAGATTGAGGACTGTGTTCTCAATCTCTTTTTCTGGAGCCCCTGTAATAAAGGAACAGGAATCCTCTATACTGAGTGTTCCGTTTCATTCATAAGGGGAGGACAGAGTGTGTTTACTTTAGCCACAATCATGAATGAACAGGAGGTGATGTAGATCACTTCTCAGTCATTCATAATTGGGGATATAGTAACCATACTCTGTCCTCTATTTACACTCAGCGATCACTGATCACTGACTGCTTGCACCCACTCCTTCCTGACAGCTGTCACAGGAGGCTGACCGAGTGGTGAGAGGAGGGGAGCTCGATCTCCTGTGACAGCTTACTGCTCCCCCACACCGTCCTCCTGTGACAGCTGACTACGCCCCCCACACCACTCTCCTGATCTGTCACAGGAGGCCGCGCGGTGCTGGGAGGAGAGGCGCCGGCCGCTCATAGCACTCTTCTCCCCACACCACTCTGCCTCCTGTGACAATTTCTCTCCTCCCCACTGGGACACATAGCAGCGCGCAGCGGGGAGGAGAGAAACCAGGGATGCACCGCTATTTTGGCGAAAAGATGGCACTTTCTGCACTTCGCCAAAAGAGCCATTTTTGGCTATGTTTCAGCGGCCGAAATGTTGGTGTATCCCTAGTTTAAACCTTTTCTCCAAATGTGTCAAATAAATAAAAGGGTTTGGGGGGGAAGGTACTGGGGCAGGTGGTTAAAAAAAAGAGGCGGTTTACATCATGGGCACAGCGCTGGTATGCAGGCATTCAAGGAGGTGGCAGTGTGGCCTCAAATGCCTGTGAAAGGTGAACCACTGCAGATCATCCCTTGCCTGTGAACGAGGACTCACTGCTTTAGGCTATGTTCACACCATGTCTGGACTAGAGCTGGAACAGGTCTGCAGACACAGAGCATTTTTACAGTGATTTTGCCGTGTTCCAGTGCTTTTGTTTTTTTGTAAAGTTTAAAATGGGCTTTCAGGTGCAGTCCAGTGCATTTGGCACGTTTGCAGATTCCAGAGTAGGTAAAAAACACAAACAAACTAGAAAGCACTGCAAAGGGGTGAAATGCAGCCCAGAAATTACATAGGGATGCGTTGATCGAGAAGCTAAATGTTCTGGTCTGGACATCGTGTGAACAAGCTCTCAAGCTCAACTCCACTGAGGAAACCCTTGGCATCTCAATGTTCTAGCTTCAAGTGTCCTCCCATGCCCTGTAAGTCTGAGACTGGCTGTAGATGCATCTGCACCTAGCAGGGCATGTTGGAAATGTTACGTCCGGAATAGCTGTAGCTGCAGGTTGTCTCTGTCTGGATTAAATATCCCAAGGCAGGACTTCTGTAATTAAGTCAAAGAAATAATAAACCCAAAGGTTTAATGTAGATCACCAGACGTGGTGCCTGAATTAAAGTGTATCCATTGCCACAATTAAGCCAAGGACAGAGTGGATGATAACCCCTGTCCGGTTTCATCTAGGGCTCTGGTATAGAGATGTCCCCTCACTCGTTGTTCTGCAGACAACCATTTCACCAACTAGGAACACTCAAAGCAGCAACGGACACAAACATTTTTTTAATTTACGTAGGGAAATATTAGAACCCGTCAGCTTTTTTTGTCACTGGTTTCCCTGTTGCATATTTTCCCTCATCTCGAAAGGAGAAAGTGAAGAGAAATCTCTTTATCGGAGCACCAGATAGCAGTAAAATGTGTGAGGGTATAATAATCCAAAATAAAACAAGGATCAACAAGTACATTACACTTGCAGCATTTTCTAGAGACAAAACCTGGCGAGCGGTACATAGTAACACATGAAGTTTTATTTAAAACGTCAAGTTCTCAGACAGACTACCAGAAAACTCTGGGTAACCAAACTGCATTTCAGCCGATTAAAAAAGAATTTGTTTTTACCTTTTTCCCAGTTTGTTTCTCCACCATGTCGTAGCTGAGGGCGAATTCTTCTGGTTGTGGTGTTTTAGAACACCCACCCTTGGGCATCGTTTTGCCTTCCCTACTTGGCCTTCATTTATTTTCCTATCGCTTCGTCATCAACAGTCTAAAAGACAAAAAAAAAGAAAGGATTGAAATGTTAAAAGAAACACAACATGCTCAATACAAACTGGTAATAGTATTTGGCCAAGTGATTAGAATATATATTTTCCAATATCAGATTTCTAAAGCTGTATAATTCCTTAAATGTCAGAGACCACACAGATAACTGGTGTCAAGTCAGTTACCAATCTCATCTTCATTAACCCAGCCAGACTAGATAAAAAAAAAACTGTGGTAGTAGTAAAGTGAATAAAGGAATGTTGGAAGCAATGGAGAGTACTGGTAAAGAGCCTACTTCAGACCCCAATCCCCATAGATGGCCGGACCAGGTACTGCAGAACCCAATCCCCGTAGAAGGCCGGACCAGGTACTGCAGAACCCAATCCCCGTAGAAGGCCGGACCATGTACTGCAGAACCCAATCCCCGTAGAAGGCCGGACCATGTACTGCAGAACCCAATCCCCGTAGAAGGCCGGACCATGTACTGCAGAACCCAATCCCAAGATATATACAAGTTACAAAAATAACAAGCTCCAATAAGACAAAATAGAGGAACTGTCAAGTACCAAATTATGACGTAACATATCTAAGCAGTGATAAGTCCTGCCACCTCTCTGCTACTGCCCCAGCGCCTCTTGTGTGCTGTTTGGACAACTAGTGATCACATTGGAGACATCAGAGTTTCCTCTGTCCTCTAAGCTCACCTACATACCAACCCAGCTATACAAAAAGGCCTAAAGATAATGTGGAAGATACACGGGTAATGCCAATGCTGACTTGCAGGTTTCAGCTTGACTTGAGTTTGATGTGACAGTTCAATGCAAGGACACATTAGGTCACCCTTTAGTGAATAACCCTGTAAATGTTTTGAAATGACTATCAACATAAACCAAACCCACATGTATGTACAGACCATGTTATGAAAGAGTTTTGATTTTACCATAGACATACATGTTGTTCCCGGTCACTAAGGCATGTCTAGCTGACAAATTGACCTCATGCATGATGGGAGCTGTAATTCAGAGAGAAGCCTACATGTTCTACATCAGTGTTAGGCAAACTCCAGCCCACCAGCTGTGATGCAACTACAAATCCCATTAAGCATTGCAAGACTGACGGTCACAGACATGACATCCGGAGGCAGATGCATAATAGGATGTGTAGTTAAATCACCGTCAGAGGGCTAGCCCTATTCTACATAGTAACATAGGCGCTTCTATCTGACCCACCTATTACAGCAGTTTTAGCACAATTGAACTGGAAGAGGCCGCAACATAAAAATACAGGTAATAAAATAACTCTCCTCTAGGCCAAACATTAACCCTTGCAGTGGAGCTGCCCCCCGCAATAAAAGGGTCAACTACTAGTTTTTGTCAGTGCCATTCGAAAAAAAAAGAAAGTTACACTGCACATCCTTGAAGCTGGCTTGTTAGACATGTCCTCCCAGTCCCACTCCCCCTGTGCTGCCGCTAGAGCTGCAACAGTTAATCGATTAAGTTGATTAAAATCGACGATTGAAAACGTTGGCAACGTTTTCGATCGTCGATTCGTCGGCTATCGATTGCTTAGCCTGTTCGGGGCTCCGCACGCGGCCTGAGTCGCACGTCATGCGTCACACGCTGCTCCCGACGTGTCCACCGCACAGGCCGCCACCGCATAGCCGCAGACCAATAAATGTGTATAAAAAGGTGAGGACTCCGAGGAACATTCCAATGCTGCAGTGTAGGAGGAGAGAGCCTTCAGAGATTGGAGAAGCAGCTCAGCTGTTCAGGTGGGTATAACTTTTATTTTAGCACCTAGACAAAATTGAGTGGTCAACCCTTGCAGTGCGGGGGTAGCCCCACTGCAAGGGTTAATAAATGTTCTTCCCAGAGCTGCTTTTTAACCATCTCCCGTCCATTGGCCGTTCCTGAACAGCCAAACGGGGGCCTTAAGAAGTCCTGCCCCTCACATTCAGCACGCACATGGGGAAACTGTCACAAGTGACGAGGGAGCATGGAGCCAGCTTCCCGGCCAATCTGGAAGCCGGGCAGCGTGTAATGATGCGCTGCACGGTTTCCTGATACAGGAACTATCGGGCTAGGCTTCGGAGCATTTGGGCGAGTACTCGCCCAAATACTTGGTATCGGCAGCGATACTAGTATCGGTATCGGTGCATCCCTACTTTCAATGAATCCATAAGAGAAGAGGAAATTGAAGCATAAACTATCTTCATTTAAATGGTTCTTTCTACCAGAAAATAACAAAAAACATTCACATATCAATGACTGCACAGCCGCAACTTGGCCGGAGACCAGTGACCACACTCTAACGTCTTTACATGAATTCTGCACTCTTCCCGGAAAAAAAGCCCTTTCTTATCAAATGCCTGAAATGAAGTGTTGCTCGGTCACGTTGCAAAAAAACAAATTGGAAAAAAAAAGCCGAGGCACACTGCCAGCGCAATTCCTTGCAGCCTCCAACGAGTGACCTATTATCAAATAAACATTGTTTAGTTGCTGAAAGACTGAGTGGCACCGCACCATCTGCACACACAATCTGATCAGGTCATTTAAACCAAAAGCCTAGTGTTTTATTCCAAGCAAAAAGAAGTGTCTCATCATACATCTAACCATCCCTCCGATGGCTCCACCAACCTCAAGAGCAACAATGCCCAAGCACTGGGTTTCATCCACTGCCGGACCTACTACTACAAGTGGAAACCCAAGTTAACCGGCTTCCTCAAACATCATTTTTTGCTTTAGTTTACTTATTTGAATGAAAATCCATTCCATACCATGGGAGAGAAACCCATTAGGAGGGAGATACACAGATTACAACTGTAGGCTTGTATTTACGAGTACTCATCCTGGTATAAATGCCTCATGATGGTCTCTCAGAACAGTTGTGAAACCAGGACCTATGTTCCCCAAGGGTGTCCTGTCCGTTATACAGGGGGGTCAATAACATCACATTGAAGTCTGATGGGGTTGGTGCCAGCAGCCAATAATTCTGGCCACCTAAGAACATGTAGGTCCAAGCTCCGCTCCCTTTTACACCTCATGTTCATGGGTTCTTGTGTGGAGTTTTGGAATGTTATTCACAGACATTCCTTGTTCCTGTCCTAGTTGCCTTATGTAAATATGTCTTTTTTATGGTGTCTACTTGTACTTTACAGTAAAAACAATAAAAAGATTGTAGGAGTATATGTAGGTCAATATGACAGCATGCACTGGTTAACTGGAGCCTGACAATATCACTGGTGCACTTTAAAAGGAAACTTGTCACTGGAGAAAAAAAAATATGCCGTTGCTGAGCTCTAAGAGCCCATGCATACTGGCCCCCTAAACACAGGAGTCGTCATCTAGGACAAACATCCACACGGACCACCCATGCGGTGTTGGGTTTTTCCTGGGTACATAAAAACCAGGTCAACTGTCGAGGGAAAAAAAAAGAAAAATTCCCATTTGTGTAAACGCAGATACATTGAACATACCGAGAGGCTACTGAACATCTAGGAGTGCATTCAGCTATAGCAAATTACATGCTTTCCGATGCGTTTAGAAATGAGCTCCAAATGCACCTGGAAGCATCGCATTTTACTTCCTGCATGCATGGCGCCATTTGCCTGTGTCGTATCGACTCTTGTATCAATACTTTGCATTGCTGACTTTGAACAAGTATGGACTGAAGATTCTTCTACTAAATTTTAGATCTGAATACGCTCCATGGCAGTGACTTAGAATTAAAGCAAACCTGTCCGCATAATAGTCAGGCAACTAGCATTATTAGGTGGTCAGCCACAGCAGCTTCCACCCCCCACCATTATTCCTAGGTCCAGAAGCAAATAGCAAACAAGGCGCTGGACTGGTAAATTTCTTAAAAGGAGAACTATGAGGTGAGTGAGCTCCAGCGCTGACTGGAAGAACGGACGCCAGAGGGGGTGGGCACAGCTGGGTGGATCTCGACAGCATTGTCGGGATCCATCCCGGCTGCGGCACTCAGTATATAGCAAGCTGTAGTTTGCTATATACTGAGCTTTGGGTCACAAGAGGATGCTAGTATATGTCCTACCGTGACCCTTAGCCCTCATTCACACAACAGCCGGCCCGTGCAGATCTGAGCTGCGTGTGATTACACGCAGCTGCCTGTTCTCTATGGGTGTCCGCACTCGTACGCAGACGAGATGGATTCTGTCTGAGTCCAAGCAGGGACAACCGCAACCATACAGACTCGCTGTTCAGGTGAGCGTAGGGCGGCGTACGGCTGCGTACTCCCATAGAGAACAGGCTGCTGTGCACAATCACACGCAGCACCTGACCTTCACAGGAGCGGCCCTATACTGCCATGCACACCGCATGGATCGGGGCCGGCCATTACTAGTGTGAATGAGTGCTTAAGAGAACTATGGGATAAAAAGCTTAACCCATAGTTCTCTTAAATGTTTTAGACAATCAGCCCTAGGAGAGGGGCTGGGACCCAAAATCGAGAAATCCAAATGCAATGTGTAGAATGAGAGTGCCAGACCAAGAGAAGTTTAAAATCTTTTAAACACTCAATTGGTGATAAAACCGAAGATAGCCAATGCATTTCGGGGGCCACAATTCCCCCCTTCATCAGGGCTGAATGGAAATAAAGTTTTGGATGGACCCAAATGATGGCTTCTGAGCTGCCTGCATACAATTGGTCAGTAATGCTAGCAAGTGATTAAAATTGTGGACTGTAAACCTCTCTTGGTCTGGCGCCCTCATTCTATCCATATCTCTAGGGACAGGCGTACTTCCAAGAATTCATCACTGAGCAACCAACACATTTTGCCTCGCATATGAAAAGGTTTCATGGAGAAACTGTTGCCCGCAATCAAGCTCTCCCATTTAAGACTCGAGCAGGATCTGTCACTACGTTCATGAAGTTTATATACAAAAAAACAAAAAGAGACAAAGATCTGGAAGAGAAAATGAACAGACTGCTTTCCATCCCACAAATGCATCTTTCATTGGAGAGAAGGCGGCCTATAATGCCAGT